CCTGTAATCCCAGCACTTTGGGAGGCTGAGGCGGGTGGATCAAGAGAGTTTGACACCAGCCTAGTCAACATGGTGAAACCCAGCCTCAACTGAAAATACCAAAATTAGCTGGGCGTTGTGGCATGCTCTGTAATCCCAGCTACCCAGGAGGCTGAGGCAGGAGAACTCCTTGAAGCTGGGAGGCAGAGCTTGCAGTGAGCTGAGATCTCGCCACTGCACTCCAGCCTGGGTGACAGAGCAAGACTTGGTGGGGCACAGGTGGTCAGGCCTGTAATCGGGCACTGTGGGATCCCAAGGAAGGCAGATAACGAGTTCAGGAGATTGAGACCACCCTGGCCAATATGGTGAAACCCTGTTTCTACACAAAATACAAAAATTAGCTAGGTGTGGTGGCAGGTGCCTGTAATACCAGTTACTCAGGAGGCTGAGGAAGGAAAATCGCTAGAACCCAGGAAGCAGAGGTTACAGTGAGCCGAGATCACACCACTGCACTCCAGCCTGGTGACAGAGTGAAACTGTATCTCAAACAAACAAAGAAACAAACAAAAAACAAAGACAAAGCAAGACTCTGTCTCAGGGAAAAAAAAAATAAAGAACGAAAATAAATAAAATACATATACAGGAGGCTGAGGCAGGAAAATCGTTTGAACCCAGGAGGCAGAGGTTGCAGTGAGCTGAGATTGCATCACTGCACTCCAGCCTGGGTGACAGAGCAAGACTTCATCTCAATCAATCAGTAGAAGTACTCAAGCAGAACCTGAATTCCAGTGGAACAGCTGATGCCAACCAGTTTGAAGACCCCCCCAACCCCCACCCAAAGGAACCAAATCAGCATGAGAACACCCTGCTTCACCCTGCTCTCCTTGACAAACCAACAATCTCCACTCTTCAGCCCACTCTAAAACCCTTGAAAACCCTGGCCCCAAACTCATCAGGGAGGCAGATTTGGTTTCCTCCAGTCTCCACGTCCTGTGGCCCTAGGATTAAACCTGTTCCTCTGCTGCAGCCTGGTGTCTTGGTGCACTGACTTGCTGTGCACATCTGATGATTACCCTATTCCGGTCACATATCCATCTGTGCAATGCATTTATGGAGTTAAATTAGAATTATCTTGGTTGTAAGCTACAGAAGCCAAACTCAAATTAATTTAAGCAAAAATGAATAAATAAATAAAGTATTGGTGTGTATGCTTGGAATAGGTCACATGCTAAAGAGAAAAACTACTGAAATCAAGCTGTCAGGACTTTACTATGAGACTCCACGTCTTCATCACTGTCTCATCTCTCCCTGTGGTGAGGAAGATGGTGCTGGCTGCCAGCAATTCACGCTGTCTTAGCTTAGCACATCTCAATCCCAGATGGCTCTTGCTTTGGTACTGCCTGGCTGCAGTAGAAACAAGGCCCAGGCCAGGCCAGTGAGAGCCTGCCCTGGGTCTTCAGCTGGAACCATTAGGAAAGAAGTATCTTCTCTAAGTGGAGAAGCTGGTAGAATCTAAGCCTGCAGGTGTTGGTGGCATCTTTCCTGCCTGTGTGAGGCCAGGCCAGGAGAGAGAGTGGAGAGCAGGGTGGAGGGTGGGAGGTGAGATCGATTCTTGATGCCGCCTTGCAATGCCTGAATGGTTCAGCCATGTGGCACTTGAATATGTCAATTCCCTCTTTCTTGCAAAGCCTATTGAGTTGTGAGTTTCATAACTTGCAATGGGAGGCCTAATGTGAGGGGCACTTTGATCTGGGTCTGAAAGGGTGAATAGGCATTTTGCAGGGTTCTTTTCAGATATGCAGAAAGAACAGGGCATGCACAGCAGAGCCACCATTGTACCCTCCTGGTGGTAGTAAGTCTCCCCAGAGGGCTCCAATAAGTCCACCCGCCCTGTATGCGCACACAGCTCTCCACAGCTCCTGAATCTGGCTTGGGCTTGTGCCTGCTTTAATTAGCAGAATACTGAAGTGGCCTTCTTCAGAAGGCTTGGCAGCTTTGGCTTCCTCTTAGAGCCCCTGGTTGTCATGTAAGAAGTGCAGGATGACCTCCTGCTGGAGAGAGAAGTCACACACAAAGGCTGAAAGGATGGTATGAGACACTGCAGGGGAGGCCTCATTAGGGGGCACTGAACTGCCAGATGTTCAACACCCAGCTGCCACCTATGGCACAGGCATGAGGCCCCAAGGGAGAATATCAGACTCGTGAGATACAGTAAAACTGTTGCTTTATGCTACTGAGTTTTTTGTTGTGCAACGAGACCTCCCCTCCTCCATACACACCATGCCAGTCACAAGGGAATAGCTCCCTCTTTTTCTTTTTTAAATACAGTGTCTTGCTCTGTTGCCCAGGCTGGAGTGCCACGGTGCAACCTTAGCTCACTGCAACCTCTGCCTCCTGGATTCAAGTGATTCTCACACTTCAGCCTCCCAAGTAGCTGGGATTACAGGCGCCTATCACCATGCCTGGCTAATTTTTTTTGTATTTTTAGTGGAGATGGGGTTTTGCCATGTTGGCCAGGCTGGTCTCCAACTCCTGGCCTCAAGTGATCTGCCCGCCTTGGCCTCCCCAGAGTACTGGGATTAAGGCATGAGTTACCTCACCCGGCCAAGAGTAGCTCCCTCTGGCCCTACAAATTACAAAAAGGCACCCAGGCTGGAGCACATGCAGCCAGGGCACTCACACAGGCAGGAGAGGCCCTGCGGGATGTCTGTTCCATCGGCCCCTCAGCCTGGATGCTCTGTACAGCACAGGGCTGCATGACTCCCTCCACCTGGGGCTGGAGGAGTCTCTGGAGGGAAGGCCACAGGCAGCGTGCTGGTCTGCAGGTGTTCTTCCTGACTCCTGGGCTTTTGCATTGCCCTCCTTTTGCCCAGTGTCCTATGGCCCTAGAGGCATGGGCTATCACTACTGATGTCATGGCAATGCCAAGCAATGACTATCCCAACACCATGCTGGGGAGAGGGAGATCTTGATCTTTTTTTTTTTTTTTTTTAATATTTTTTTTCTTAATTTTTATAATTTTTTTTTCTTTTTTTAAAAGATGGCTTTCACCATGTTGGCCAGGCTGGTCTTGAACTCCTGACCTCAGGTGATCCACCCACCTTGGCCTCCCAAAGTGCTAGGATTACAGGCGTGAGCCACCGGGCCCGGCCCATCTTGATCCTTGAGCAGCTTTTGTCCCTCATCCTTTCCTTGCCCTTCCAGCCAGGTCTCCACCATCCCAGACTACAGCAACCCATTTCCCACATCCCCCGCTCAAAACAGCCTTCAATGAAGTAGAAGCTTTGGTTTGTTGCTACTGTTAGTTACTAGAACCTGTCTCACTCTCATTTCTTCAGGGTTGATTTTCCAGAAAGCAGTTAGCAACCTATCCTAGTTTGCCACATAGGTGGGCAGGCAGCTATTCCTTTTCCTACCCTTTAGTATGTAGCTCGAATTTTTATTTTTTTTAGACGGAGTCTCACTCTGTCTCCAGGCCGGAGTGCAGTGGCAAGATTTCGGTTCACTGCAATCTCGCCTTCCAGGTTCAAGCGATTCTCCTGCCTCAGCCTCCCGAGTAGCTAGGATTACAGGCGCCCGCCACCACGCCCGGCTAATTTTTTGTATTTTTGGAAGAGACGGGGTTTCGCCATGTTGGTCAGGCTGGTCTCAACTCCCGATCTCAGGTGATCTGCTCGCCTCGGCCTCCCAAAGTGCTGGATTACAGGCGTGAGCCACCGCGCTCGGCCAAAAATACAAAAAAAATTAGCCGGGCGTGGTGGCGGGCGCCTGTTAGTCCCAGCTACTCGGGAGGCTGAGGCAGGAGAATCGCTTGAACCTGGGAGGCGAGGTTTCAGTGAGCCGAGATCTCCTAACTGCACTCCAGCCTGGCGACAGAGTGAGACTCCATCTCAAACAAAACAAAACAGGTCTTTTGGGTGTTATTCTTGGCCGTAGACTGTGAGCTTATTCAGGGCAGGGTGGAGTCTGATTCATCTCTGTGCCCTGAGCATCAGTCAAGTACTATTTCCCAATGTAAGCATCATGAATCAGCCAGTCATTTCTCTGCTCTCCTTCAATCACCAGAGTTTGCCCTGAACAGAACATCTTGATCTTTGAACGCAGCAGCTCCTGTCCATTACTCAGGTTAGGACCCCAGCACCAAAACTGTCCATTAAGGTACTGGAATGAATTACCACTAATGGACTGAAACGGGCTATTAACTTATTTTTTTCTGCATAATTGAGAAAGGAATAATTATTCGACTGTTCACTTTTGAATGTCTTGTCTTTAGGCAGAGCAAAATACTGTCTACGATCAAAAATCTGTGTTTCGACGTGATTGACAGGTGAAGGCCTAAGGAAAAGGAAGAGGAGAAAAAGGGAGGAGGATCAAGGAAAAGAAGGAAAGGGGAGATAAAAGTGGACAACCCAAGGCGGAAAAAGAGCTAGATGAAAAATGGAGGAGCGCTAAGGAGACGAGAAAATAGAAGCGCCAAGGAAGGAAAGGAGAGAGAAGAGCGGGAAGAGAAGGAAAGGATGGACGGAAGGAAAGACGCAGGGAGGGAGGACGGGAGGCGGGGAGGCAGGGTCCTCAGCGCGCCGGGCCGAGCCACCGCTCCCCAGCGCGGGGGTGAGGAGGCGGGGCCTGGGCAGCGGCGTGCCGAGAGCGACCCCTGCGCCGAAGGCCGGATGGTTGCGCCCGGAGATGGCGGCCAATGAGCGGCCGGGATGTTGGAGCGGAGGTGGCGGTCCGGGCGCTCGCTGGCTGAGAGACGGCGGCCACCGCCATGATGCTTGTTTGCTTTCAATGAAAGCTAGGGGGGCGCGGAGGAGGAGGCGTCGGCGTCGGTGGCGGCGGCGTCGGCGGCGCGGAGGCGAAGGCGGCGGCGGCGGGCGCAGCGAGGAGGGCGAGGCCGGAGGCCGAGAGGGCGGGAGGGAGTAGTGGCCGCCCGTTAGGGCGGCTGAGACGGGCGGCTGAAGTAGTGGCTCTCGGAGGGGGAACAAAGAGCGGCGGCTAAGGCGGCAGAGGAGCGGCGGCAACTGCGCTGCAGCAACGGGCGGGACTGGTATGGTGGTTCCACAGGTCAGACCGCGCTGCACTCACAGGAAGGAGGCGGCGGCAGCGGCGGAGGAAGGCGGCGCACCCCGAGAGGTGAGCGGTGAGCGGTGAGCGAGGCAGGCCCGAGGCCCTGCTGGGGCGCTGCTCTCCGCTCCGGCCGCGCATGGATCCCCCATCGGCTGGGCTCCAGGGCCCCAGAGCGTGCCGGGCTCCGTCGCGAGCAACTTTAGTTTCTTGGGCTGCGGTTCCGCTGCTCCGCAAGCTGGCGGCTGTTGGGGGGGGGCCCTTCGAGGTGCTGCGGTCCCGCCCTGCCCCGGGCCGAGCCTGTGGGTTGGGGGCGTTGATTGACGGCGGCGACGGCGCGCAGTGGGGAGGGGGCCGGCGCCGGGCTCCCGGATCCCAGCTGATCCTGGCTGCGGTAGCCAGAGGAGGCGAGTCCGTGTCCCGGGACTCGTGGCCAAGATGGGTGGCAACTTTTGAGGAGCGCTCTGTGGATGGCGCGCTGCGTGGTGTGGAACTTGGCACTTCGTAGTGGCAATTACTGTCAAGAGAGAAACCAACTGTTTATCCTCTCCCCCCAAAATGTTTTTAAAATTCAGTTTAACGCAGATTTTGTGGGGAGAGGACAGGGTGGATTACAGGTTAAAGAAGCACTTAGCATGCAATGAAGAGATTTATCGTATTGCTAAGGATTCGGAGATTGTACTGCTGGTTTCTTGAAGCAGTTTTCTCTGGTAACCCAAATTACATCCCTCCTTTTTTTCAACACTAATCGTTATTTTCTTTGGAAACTTTTCCGTTGACTCTCTACCTCCTTCACCTTCCTTGAAGAGCTTGCTAACAACACCTGTAGCCCTACTTCTGTTTTTAACCGTTATTGCCATTGACAACATTGTGAATGGTCGTCTCGCTTGACTTTCTTGGATTTGTTGTTACTGTGTTAAGCTGATGTGTTTTAGATAGTCTGCTTGAATTTGAGTTCCATACTTACCTGTTTTCCAGGTGGATTGTCTCATTGTTAGTGCTGAATCTCCTTGCCTACTTGTATCTGGGAATTTAACTTTGACGAGGAAGAGAGTAAACATGAATAACTGAAAAACAAAATAGTGTGTAGTAGCGCTTTGTATTTTTTACAGTATGCTAGAATTTACCACTCCAGAACAGATTTGTGGGCTGTAGGAGTGGACATGGGCCGTTGATCAAAACAGCTTAAAGGTTTTTTTGGGGAATTGCTGTTACGACATTTATCACAGTCTTTATTAAATGTATTTATTGTTTTTGAGACAGGATCTCACTGTGTCGCCCAGGCTGGAGTGCAGTGGAACAGTTCTCAGCTCACTGCAATCTTGGCCTTCTGGGTTCAAGCGATCCTTCTGCCTCACCCTCCTGACTAGCTGGGGCTACAGGCAGATACCACCACGGCTAATTTTTTAATTTTTTTTGTAGAGACAGCGTCTTGCTTTGTTGCCCAGGCTGGTCTCCCAGCTCCGGGGCTCAAGCAGTCTTCCCTCCTTGGCCTCCCAAAGTGCTGCAATTACAGGCATGAGCCAACATGCCCGGCCATCACAGTCTTTAGAATGTGATGACTTTTAGAGTAAAATTTAGAATAAAAGTTGCTTAATATCTTTAGATCTGTGATCTACTCCAGGTGTTTTGTTTTAAATATTTGAACAGCTGCTGATGAGAAAACAGACCTTTCTAGGTGGAGGTGACTTGCCCATGTTATGGTAGTTATGAGGGAAAGGACTGTGTTTGTGTGCATGTGAGAGCACATGAGAGTGTGACCTAATTGCCAGAGGTTTGTTCTTTTGGGAGGGTAGGGGTCGTTTTAATGGTTAGAAGTTATTTAAGGTAGTTGACTCTGGCCACTTCTCAGTAGGTGAACAAGATGTTTAATGAAATGGTCAAAAAAGATTGTTCTTCCTATATGTAAGCAAAAAAAAAAAAAAAAAAGACTATGTGATGGCCAGGCATGGTTGCTCATGCCTGTAATCCCAGCTCTTTGGGAGACTGAGGAAGGATGACTTGAATACAGGAGTTTGAGACCAGCAAGACCCTATCTCAAAAAAATATGAAATAAAATATGTAAAGACTGTGATAACTGTCACAACATAGTGAGACCATGTCTTGATCAGTTTTAAAAATGGTGGCAAGAGAGACCAAAGATTTTCTCTGAAAGTCAATCATTAGATAATTTCCAAAGTGTCTTGATAGTGGTAGTGTAGCTCAAGAGGCTCCTTTTGAATACCTCTTCAATTTGTAGGTATTTTCAGGTTTCTTAAATCTTGTTGGCAAATAGTCCCAGCTACTCGGGAGGCTGAGGCAGGAGAATTGCTTGAACCCAGGAGGTGGAAGTTGCGGTGAGCTGAGATTGTGTTATTGCACTCCAGCCTGGGTAACGAGTGAAACTCTGTCTCAAAAAAAAAAAAAAAAAAAAAAAAAAAAAAGTAAAACTACAATTATTGGGAAATTTCAAACTGTTTTCTTTTGAGCAGACATAAGGTTGGTTTATAGAACTTGGTCCTATGTACAAATATGTAAAGGCATTTTAGGAATGCCCACTGTAGCTGTAGTTTAAAAGTATACATTTTATGCCAGGCATGGTGACTCACCCCTGTAATCCCAGAAATTTGCGAAGCTGAGATGGTTGGATTTCCTGAGGTTAGGAGTTTGAGACCAGCCTAGTGAATATGGTGAAACCCCATCTCTACTAAAAATACAAAATCAGCCAGGTGTGGTAGTGCATGCCTGTAATCCCAGCTATTCCCTAGGCTGAGGCAGGAGAATTGCTTGAACCCAGGAGGTAGAGATTGAAGTGTGAGCCAAGATTGCACCACTGCACTCCAGCCTTGGCGACAGAGTGAAACTCCGTCTCAAAAAAAAGTATGCATTTTGGTTAATGCTTATACGTTTCAGTACCTGTATCTGCCTTCTTATATTCTTTAAAGCATAAACCTTTTTCATAGTATGATAGAAAAGGATTATATATGTAAGGCATATTGTAATAAATGGTTAAGGCGGCTCACAGCTGTATTCTTTGCGACATTAGGGGTGAGGGATCAATATATATGTTCAGCATATTTAGAACCCATTCCCATATGCAAAGTCCACTGGTTTGGGAAGCCCTGCTTTAAAGCATTTATCACTTTGGAATAGTCATAATAGGTTCAGTTAAAAATGTATGTTTTACTGGGATAGCCAAAGACTTGGAGTTCTAGATATCTTTGGCCCACTACTCAGAGTAGTCATTTTACAGCAAAGTATGATTAATAGGCTGGGCACGGTGGCTTATGCCTGTAACCCCAGTACTTTGGAAGCTGAGGCAGTGGATCACCTAAGGCCGGGAGTTGGAGACCAGCCCGACCAACATGGAGAAACCCTGTCTCTACTAAAAATGGAAAATTAGCCGAGCATGGTGGCACATACCTGTAATCCCAGTTAGGAGGTTGAGGCAGGAGAATTGCTTGAACCCAGGAGGCAGATGTTGCGGTGAGATCACGCCATTGCACTCCAGCCTAGGCAACAAGAGTGAAATTCCATCTCAAAAAAAGAAAGAAATGCTGACTAAACTATAAACATACTGTATGCATAGCTGGGGTGCATTAGAGTACAATGGAATGTACCATATTTTGGTATTTGAATGAGTAATTATCGAGAAGGGTAGGGTTAGTTGATGCAAAATGGAGACTTATTTAGGCTTTCACTTTACCCTTCTCTGGTCTTTACCTCTCCTTCATCCATTTATATTTTCTTGGCGACTTAAGTTACACATTAAGGTAGGTACTGGCCACAGTGGGTTTAACACTGAGAATTCAAAGAGAAACGATACTCCAATTTTGTCTTCTGGTCATATATAGGCTTAATAGGTGCACAGAGTGCTGTGGAAGAAGACAATAATGATTAAACTTGTGGAGGGTGTGGAGGTAGTTTACGGAAAATAACCCCGAATAGTAATTTGCCTGACTGAGGAGAGAGAGTCATTTCAAACAGAAGGAACTGTGCATGCACTGAGTTGTCAAGTGTTAGGGGAAGGCTGGTGATAAGGTGTGTTACTGGAACAGTGGGAGTGACTTGAGATGAGCCTGCAAAGGTGTGTCTTGTCTAGATTTTGAAGGACCATGCTTGCTAAGCTAAAAATGAAGTTTATACCTGTATTTTATAGCAGAAGAGAGAGCCAAAATATTTTCAGCAGGGGAACAAGGTGATTTAGAGATCACTTTGGCATCCCTGTGGTGAATAGAGTGGAGGCCCTACAAGTAAAAATCATATTTGAGATAGTGTGGAGTTAATGACTTTGAATCTATTTTTTTTCTTCTTTTTCTTTTCTTTTTTTTTTTTTTTTTTTGAGACGGAGTATCGCTCTGTCACCCAGGCTGGAGTACAGTGGCATAATCTCGGCTCACTGCAACCTTCACTTCCTGGGTTCAAGTGGTTCTCCTGCCTCAGCCTCCTGAGTAGCTGGGATTACAGACGCCTGCCACCACAGCCAGCTAATTTTTTGGTATTTTTAGTAGAGAGGGTTTCACCATTGGCCAGGCTGGTTTCGAACTTCTGATCTCAAGTGATCTATCTGCTTTGGCCTCCCAAAGTGCTGGAATTATAGGTGTGAGCCACCACACCTGGCCTGAATCTGTTTTTAACTTGGATATGGTGTTTCCTGAGTCTATGGTCCTTTTTGTAGTAGGCTTGAGGGCTATGCCCAGTTGCTCTATAATACAGGGTCATTTAAATTCAAGATGTCAGTATGTTTTGGAATAGGTTAAGAGCAGTCAAAACTATGAAAGTCATAAAATGGTACACATGAAGGTTCAGATATGGAGAACACTTGTCTTCTAAGTTAGGCTTAGGCAGACTATAGAACTTAAGCTGGAAAATTCAATCCAGTGCCTACCTGAAATCAAAGCCACCAGACTTAAAAAGTTATCAGTATCCTGATGGTTTGCTAGGGTACGGGCTGTAAACATTTTGTGAAATTTTGGGGGAGGGCAGGCTTCTCTCTAGTAAATTATTGGAATTGAAATAGAGTAGCTTAAGGTCTAAGAAGTCCTCATTCAGCTGTTAATTTATACAGTCAGTTCTGCTGTAAAGCAACA